TTTAGAAAATTTGGATGAAGAAGAACATGAGTGATTTCACTAATTTCTCACTCTGGTTCTTTTTGAAGAACAATGAGAAGGAAGCATGAGAAATAATACCCTTAGAGAAAATAGAGAACATTTTTTCTCTTGCTACAGATACGTCAGTTAATAAATAAAATCAAAAGTGGAATATACCAGACTGCCCAAATAAAGACTTCAGTGGCACTAACAATAGAACAAAAATTAAGATTCTGACCTGTCACACAGTAGATTCACTTTATTATCAGGATAGTCTTTGGGAAATGCCTCAGATATATTGCTGTGGAAACAGCATGGCTATAGAACAATATTTTACAGGACTATAAGCTTGGTAACAATTAAAGATATTTAAAAAACTGTATCAGTTCTTATGACTTAAAAAAATTTCATAGCTTTGAAAAATAATCAATTTTCAAACAAAGTGAAGAAACTTCTCTTCACTTATTGTCAGTTTAATTTCTGCATGTGGCCCTATGTATTTAATAAAGAAAAATACAACTATCATGTTTTTAATATTAATAAATGAAGGCAGATGGAGAATATAAAAATATTTTTTATATTTCATGTCACTTTTTATGACAATGGAAAATTAAGAACCTTTAAAAATAGTATTTTTTTTCTACTAGTATATATCAACATATAGTTATAATTTTCTATCAACTTCCCTAGTTATGAGGACAATCTTTGTCCTGGAAAAATGATAAAAATAGTGAACAAACCTCAAACATTTTGATCACTATGCAGTAAAAGATATTTTGGCATTTATAACTGCTTATTATCTTTTAAAATGTAATTTTGGGAGAAAAATGTTAATTATTTTTGGGCAGGGGCTGAAGAAATCCCAGTGAGACATTCTGTAGAGAGGTCTTTCGTTAGTGTAACATCTGACCTTCTATATCTTTGGAAATCATGCAACTTGGCTAATGTAGTCCTTAAAAAATTAATCAAGTAGATTGTTAGGCCCGAGTTACAGTGGAGCCAGCCAATTATGAGTTGCTCAGAAATTCATCACTGGCATGTCCAACCACATTTTCCTACATAAAGATTAGTAGAAATATGTAAAGACAGGGTCCATTCCCACCCCAGCACAGTGTTCAGTGAAACAAATTTCAACAATGTTTTCCCTTAGCAGAAACAATTTATTTGGGAATTTTCTTGATTCCTGTCTTTACTCATAACACCGTTTATGTTTTGTTTTGTTTTTGCCAACATTGCAAAGGCTGCCCTATTTAGTTAAAACTAAACCAGGGATTTTTATATGCAAACACACTTCTGAATTAAGAGCACCAAAGTCACATGCCACAAGCCTGAATTCATCACTGTTACTGAAATCCCCAAAGACCAACACTATCTTTTCACTGCTGTATAACGCCCTCCCAAGGCTTACTGAGAAGAAAGCTTGGATGCAATAGAGAAATGAAAGGAGCCAGAGTAGGTGAAGATTGGTTCTCTAAGGAGAGGACAGTGCTGCTCTTGCACAAAGAAGCTCCTTTCAGATAAGCAGAATCAGATTCCAGTCCACTTGTTTGCTGGCTACCCTTACTGTGAACTCTCATATTTAACCCAGCAGGCTTCAAAGCAGGTGAGAAAGTGACCTACCACTTAAAAGCAATTTTTCCTTTTTCAGGAATTCTGGCCTTGGAGAATATCAGCTCTAATATCAGCACATTCCACATCTCCAGGGATTTATGCAATTTTTTCATTGCTGTATGTCTAATGTCAAGTTTTATCTCAGCCAGGAAAAATAAATCAGAAAAAAAAGTCCTAACTCACAGAAAAAGAGACCTTATTCCACATTATTTTATTCTACCATCCAAAAGGAGAAAGGGAGCTAAAATCACGAACCATGCCATTGGTTCCCTTCCATTTATCAAAATCTGATGTGCAATGTGGATTATTAAAAATCATTGTTCCCTAGTGTCTTGCTTTGAAAAAAAGTAATCTTTGTTAACAAATACATTTTAACAAATTCAAACTGAATTTACTCTAGCATGTACGCTAATATAAAAAGATATTAGAAGAGGAAGAGACAATGGTGACAACTAAGGAAATTTACTTAAATTGCTTTGCCTTACTAAACAGAAAAGCAGTATGTTTCACAGAAAAGTCTTCATTCATTTCTACTATATCTGACTTAATTGAAAATCCTAACAAAGGCAGTTTGAAAACTTACCAATAGGTTTTATTCTATGAGACATTTGCCATGGCTAGAAGTTGAAACATTTTTTCCACTTTCTGTGGTCCACATATATACTTATAAGGTACCAGAAGTATATCACTAACAATATTGTTTACAGATTTATACTGTAGGAAATGCATTTTGAGTTTACTATTAGTACATAGCTCCCCCAAATGTGAAAGGGGTAGGGTCTCCTGCTATAGCTGTGCTTTGGTAATGATGATGACAATGACAGCTAACACCTAGTTTTTACTATGGGCAGACATGGTTCTAAACACTTGACATATTTTAAACACATTTAACCCTCACACACAGAAAAGACCCTGTGCGGTAGTACTATTCTCACTTGACAGCGAGGGGGAGAAAAGGTTAAGTAAAAAGTCAACGTTGCATAGCCAATAAGTGTCAGGGTCAGAATCAAAGAAAAGCAGTCTGGTTCCAGAGCCTCTGCTCATAACCACTCAGCAATCCTGCCCCTTCTCTACCTTGAAAAGGTGGTACTAACCAGGTGTTCTAAAATCCTCTTTTGGGGGGTAAAGTCGAGCAGGGCTTCTCATTTTAATATGCATATAGAATGGCCTGGGGATCTTGTTAAAATGCTGATTCAGGCAGTCTGGAGTGGTGCTTGAGATTCTGCAATTCTAACAAGCTCCTGGGTCATCAATGGTGATGCTCCCAGTGCATAGAACAAACTTTATTAAGTGGTGAAGATGTAGCATGTGAGCCTCTTGTTCTCTTTCTGGCTGGCTGGCTATTTAGTCATTTATAGGTTATGTCTATATGCTGGAGACTTTCCATACCACAATCATTTTCCATCTATTCTTAAATGGAACCTGCCCTTAAAACTGCTGCATACTGAATATTGGTTTGCAGGTAATTTCAGTAAATACTTAGCTTTTAGGAACTTAAAACATATATATGAAAACCACAGGGATTGGTTGTAAGAGTTTGCTGTTGGGCACATTTTTAACACTATATATCACCAACTATACAAATACCAGAAGATAGAAAATAAATGCCTATTCGTTGTTCATCAACCAGAATCATTGTGAATTAATATCTTTTGGCCTAAAAAAGGAGCTTCCACTTTAAAATCATAATAATTCATTCTCAGACTCTGCTAGAAGAGTGCTAAGGAGCTTGTGCTATGCAATCTTCAAGGCTCTTCTGGTACATCCGTGATCTCAATAAAGGCAGACACTACCTACTAATACCAATGGACAGAGCTGATGATGAGTACACTCCACATTAATTTTAGCCAGTGCCTCATGGAAGTACACCACTAACATCTGCCACATCTCTACTCCAGACTGTACATCTCCCTCCTTGCTCTAGTTCACCTCCTTCCCACTGCCCCGAGACAAACCCAGTATTGAAGTAGCTCTCCCATTGCTTGCCTATGGTCTCAAATGCGAGCTGCATATTTTTTCCAGTTGCTAAATGGATGGGATTCCCTTTCTAGGCCATTTTTCCCATGCTGGATTAACAGTAAGGTCATTTCAGTTTGAGATGCACTCACTCAATCAGCACCACTGCATACAACAGAGTTATGGTATAATCACTAAGCTTCCTCTTTACACCAAAAGAAAAGAGGATAGTCAGCTTCCAACCCAAATATCTATAATCCCTGAACAACAGAGAAAGTCATTCTTCTTCAAGCTTGACCCCAAATCAAGTGTGGTCTCAGACTCCTAGGCCTACAGCCAGTGGCAACTTAACACATTATACAACTGACCTTCGGGGAAAAGGGAAACCAGTGCTCTTACTACTGGTGCCAGAAGAAAACCAACTAATCTTTAAGGCACAGAACAAAATATTCTTAAGGCAGGAAAAGAAATTGTGAGGAAACAGGGAGTTCGAATGGAGGTATTTAGAGAAAAATATTGAAATCACATTACCAAGTAAGGCCTAGTGTTTCTATGGTTCTCAGTGCTCTTCTATTTGGGAATAAATGAATCGTCATTTTCTTTTTAGGTTTGAACTCTTATTACCTGGTAAAAATGCAAAGATATACAAGAAAGACACATTTTTTTAAAAGGCTTAGAGACTTAACAAGAATTCTCTTTGGTAATTTTACTTTGAGCCAGTGATAGTAATTTATAAGTTTATGTAGAAGAGTAAATAACCATGGGAGACCCTCTGTAGAATCAGTCCTCAAGTACTTCCTGGACCTGCATAAGGAAATGGGGAAGTAGTTCAAAACCAAAGGGTAAAAATAAAAATAAAGGTCTACACATGGTTCTACACTCCAGGGTGCGGAAGGTCAATAAGAACATGCAGATGCTATAACAGGGAGAACCTCTGAGTAAAGAGGCACATCTGTGCCCAGTGTGAATGTCCTAACTGTCCCATATTACTTACTTATTCTCCATCTTAGTTGCACTCTTGAATTGAAAGTTCAGCAAATACTTAGAACTAATAATTTCATTTAAATGGAAAAATCAAATGGCTTGTTTATAAAATAGGAATTTTTTTAAATTCCAAGAAAATACATTTAAAAGAACTGGATTATTCTTTAGCTAGTAACAAGTGCTATGTTTACTACCAAACGTGATCTACAAAGACCAACTTTATAATGTTATGCCATTGTTTTCTTCAAACTTTTAAGCAACAAAAATATAGCTCAAATCACCGAAAACTTGTGTTTGACATATTTATGGCAGCAAGTTTACAAATCAATTCCTGTAATTTACTATAACAAGTATCATCCACCATACAACTGGTTTAGCACAAACACATTAGAGATGGTTTTTTGTGTGTTTTACAAATGCTCTACACAAGTCCTTGAGATCATACTTACAGCTTTAGCAAAAACACCCATGATTTCAGGAAACTGGTGTGTGAGAAGAGCTATCATTGCTGTAGAAGAACACAGTCCTGCTGTGAAATAGATGAAAAAAGGAAGCTCCTTCTTTGGGTAAACAGATACTTGATGAAAGGCTGCAAGGGAGAAAAGGCAGAAGTAGATTTTATTTAAGACTAGAGTGTAAGCCAGTTTTAATATTTTCAAGCAAAATCTATTGTCTAAAACTAAAAAGAAAATTAATTAAAAAAACAAAAAAGAACAAGAAGTCTCTGGCTAAGCAAGGTAGAAAAAAGTTATCCATTATTTATTCCAGTATCCACAGGGTATCCACATAGCCAGAGGACTGTGCTGGCCACTGGGAATAGGATGGCATCGTGGGAAAGAACACTAATTGTAAAGTCATGCTGAGGTGGTTCTGAAAAAGAGCTTTGTCACTTATTAGCTGTGTGACCTTGAATAAGTTGCTAAACCCTCTATTAGTTGCTAAGGAGTTGTTATGATGAACACTGTAAGCCCTTAATAAATGTAAGTTATTATAATTCTTGCTCTTTGGGAACTCAGAGGGGAGTATAGAGATCAAGAGACAGACATGTGGTTGGAGATTTTCCAAAACCATCAGTTATTTATTTCACCCAGTTATTCTATACTAGAGGCCTGGTGCACGAATTCATGCACAGGTGGGGTCCCTCTGCCTGGCTGGCATCGGGCCGGTGGCCAGGGAGGGCTCCAGGGCATGTCTGGCCCTATCTCGCCCAGTCCCCATTGGCTGGACCCCAGCAGCAAGCTAACCTGCTGGTCGGAGCATCTGCCCCCTGGTGGTCAGTGCATGTCATAGTTACCAGTCGGTCAATCACTTGGTCAGACACTTAGCATATTAGGCTTTTATATATATAGATGTGGCATCTCATTGAGCAGTATAAAAATTGAACTAGAATACCAAAGCCCAAGGATTCTGGACATAAGTGAAAACCCATGTCTTATTTTATCACATTCAAACATTTACTCAGGTATTACTTTTCTAATAATTGGGTATTTCATTACCAATAGTATTCAAGTACTTATATTTTATTTGAAATTTGAAAATACTTGTAGAACAATGCTAAGATGAGCCTATGACAATCCTTGGCACACAGTAGGTGCTAAATAAATGTCTGTTGAACTAAAAGCTATTCTGCGACTTCATTAGTCCAGGAAGTTAACTGCTCAGAGCTGGACACAAACCCGAGGAATTCCTAATGTAATATCCTACATAAGTAAGGGATGACTAATTCAGTGCTGAATCAAGGTCAGCTATAAATTTCACTTTTTTAAACATAATGATTCACAAAGCATATTACACCTAAGTTTCCTTCAGTAGACATGATATTTTTAGGTCCTATACTATATTCAGAAAGTATAGACCCAAAACCAAAAAAAATGTCCAGGGCCTTGAGTCATGTTTAAAGTGAAAGCACAACAAATCTGACTTTTAAAAAAAATTATAAACATTAGAAGCTGTGGACAACACTATGCTTTCAGCACCCAAAAAATAGCATTCCCTTATGCCCCATCCCTCAGCCATGAGAGGCCAACCTCTTCCAGCAAACCACGAGAACCAAACCATGGTATTCTCAAAGATGGGAAAAAATACTTACCAATTGGTAAGTATACCAATGGCTACTATAATTGCTATCATTTGAGATACAGCAAAATTAATATTAATTAAACTGTACAGCATTTTATGGTTTACAAACTGCCTTTTCATTTATATTACTTTTATATCTTTTAATGTAAAAGTAATATAAATTACTAAGAAACAGACATTATTCCCACTTTATAAGGTAGGAAACTGTATAGCTTTATTAAGATAACTTCCTAAAATATGAGATTTTTATACTGTAGAAGAAACCTAATTATTTATTTTTTGATTGCTTTCTATAGATTCATTTCAGTCAATGTTTAGCTAATACATCAATATAATGGATGACTAGTACAGAAACACTCCTTTGGAAGTAAGTTCAAATTTCATCACTGGCTTGTAGAGAAAAATTTATCAGGAGGCATAAAAGACAACCAAAGAGCTATGTGAACTAGGGGAATAGTTCAAGTCTGAACTTATGAGGCTCATAGCAAATTCCAGAATGCTGTAAGTCATATCAAGGTTGAAGGAGAATTGAAAACAAAAAATATTAAGTACTCCTGAGTATTAGAACTCCACATTATTAAAAATGTGTTCATTCTACCACAGTCAGAGACAGAAAAAAATACTCTAAGAACACACAATATAATATATCCCTGGAATTTGCATATGAGTCGCACCCTAGAAATAATAAAGTGCTGCCAAGAAGCGAACTGTCTGTTCTTATAGCCTATGGCTCTGACAATACATGATAATAACCCTGGTTTTAGTCATATAATTACTATGTAAAGTTGGCCTTATATCAGGCAACCTTTGTGATGATTTGGGGGACATTATTTTAGGCTAAATGTATTAGCTTAATATAATACACTCTTAAATACTGATGCTCCATAATTAAAAATATGTTTCTTTGCCTTAAATATCTTTGTTCCTGTTAAAATGGAAAAACAGTAATAATTACTACCACCACCATCCTAGGAAAGAAAATTTCTCACCCATGACCTGCTAATTGCTAAAGTCAATGGATTCTTCTCAGTAATTACGTACCTTACTTAATCTCTCAGATACTCCTCCTCACTTGGAAATATTTTCCTCCTTTTAGTTTCTAGGATATCTGCTTCTGGCTCTGGTCCTGTCTCTCCGACCACTCCTTCACACGGAGCCTTCCAGACTCCTTATCAGTCACTCATTCCTGAGACATTTCTGTGCCCTCACGGTTCCACCCCTAGTTTACTTCTCTATAGTTTCCCTTAGTGATCTCGTTTATGCCTAGAAAATTATGACGGTGTAATAAAATATTTCATTTTAACTGAACATGTATATGTGTCTATATAGGTGAGATGTAATACGTGCAACGTACTCAAAGTCTGAATTCATTTACTCCTCCACTCCTATTCCCAACCTGCTCCTCCTGCCATATGAAGGGTTTACCATTCGAGTCTCAAGTCACCTGAGTCAGATTTAGAAATCATCCCTGACCTTGGAGACGTAGGCACCCCCATTCCAGCTTCCTAATAACCTATTCCGTACACACAGCACTCAACTCATTGTTTATCAGTCTTTCTATTAACCTGTGAGCATCTCAGGTGTTCAGAGCAGGCTAAGGAAGAAAAGGTACTAAGAGTTAACATTTCTATTGAGTACTTATAATGATCTTGGCATGTTTATAAGAATAAATTAATAAACATGACTAATTCAAGTAATATTTCTTGAAAATCAATTTTATGGTGATAGTTACAGAGATACATAGAGGGACAATAAAGAGAATCCTGGCTTTCAAGCTTAAGATCTAGAAGGGGGAGATTAAGAAGTACACAAAGTACTTTGATAGTTCAAAGAAAGAAGAGATAACTTATCTATCTCAGAGCATGGAGGAAAATAAAAAACCCTGGAAGAAAAATATCAGCACACCCAACGTCTACAATCTCTCCTAAATTGTCATTTGTCTGTTTGAACTTCTCAGCTCATTAAGTTTGAGGCTTGTGAAACGGCAATTTTCCTCCTTAGACTTCAATTCTAATGGCTCCAGAATTGTAAAAACTGTGGCACAGGTTTAAATCATGTAAGGAAACATGGTACTAGTGTTTACTAACCTTCAGGTTTACTGGTTAAATCATAAAAAGAAAAGTTTAATAGAAATTTATCAGTTCACAGAGAAAAACAGTGAGTGGATGATACGGACTGAGACAAAAAATATAGACTATTCTTTTGAGAGTCCAGCCTCCTGAGAGCAAGAACGAGACAGAAATGCTCTCAGCATTATAACCCTACACAGTTCAGGTTCTTCTCCTAACTTTTCGACTGCTCTTTTTAAAATTGGGAAGTGTAGTCAATCCAACTTCATTTTTCTTTGTAAAGACTGCTTTGCCTCTTCTGGGTCCTTTACTTTTCCCTACAAATGCTGGGATCAGCTTGTCAATTTTTGCAAAATCCCTGCTGGGATTCTGATAAGGATCGTATTAAATCTACAGATCAATTTGGAAGAACTGACATATAAATAATGTCGGGTCTTCCATTCCGTAAGCATGGAATGCCTCTCCATTTACTCAGGTGCTCTTGAGCTTCTCTCAGCAGTGTCTTGCAGTTTCGGCGTACAGATCTTACACATCTTTTGTTAAATTTATTCCTGAGTTGTTTATTCTTTTTTATGCTACTGTGATTAGAACTGATTTGACATTTTATTTTCGGATGTTCGTTACTATATATAAATATGTAATTGAATTCTGTATGCAAACTTGCTGAGCTTGTTTATTAGTTCTAATAGTATTTCCATGGAGTGCTTAGAATTTCCTACATGGAAAATCATGTCATCTGCGAATAAAGACAGTTTCACTTCTTCCTTTCCAACATGAATGCCTTTTATTTCTTTTTCTTGCTTGAAATAAAGTCTAGGGAGGAAAGTTGCAGATCTCCAAATTGATCTATAGGTTTAATATAATCCTTATCAAAATCCCATTAGGGATTTTGCACTGACCAGACCCTCCAGGACAATGGTGAATAGAATGGTGAGAGTATATATCCTTGCCTTGTTTCCTGATCTTAGAGAAAGCATTCATTCAGTCTTCCACCATCAAGTATGGTGTTAGCTGTGGGTTTTTTGTAGATGCTCTTTATCGGATTAAGAAAGTTCCCTTTTATGCCTACTTTGTTCAGAATTTTATTTTATTTTTTTAAAAAGCTGGATTTGTGTCAAATATTTTTTAAAATCTATTGCTCTTTATTCTATTAATGTGGTGCATTAAATTTTCAGATGCCAACCAACCTTGCATTTGTGAGGACAATCCCACTGTCATGGTCATGGAGTGTAATCCTTTTTATATGTTACTGGATTAAATTTGCTAATTTTGGTTGAAGATGTTTATGTCTATATTCATGAAGAATATTGTTCTATAGTTTTCTTTTCTTATAATGTCTTTGTGTGGATTTGGTATCACAAAATGAGTTGGGAAGTGTTCTTTTTTCCTTTATTTTCTGAAAAAGATTTTGTGAAATATTGATATTTCTTAAATGTTTATAACATGCCCTCTCTTTTTAATATATTTAATCTTTGTGTCCTTCACTGCATCTAGCACAGGGTTCTATTCAAAAAATATTTGGGAATGAATTGTATTATGCAAGTACATCCAAGAAATGGCTAAAATAGTATTTAAACAGTATCCTGAAGTTCAACCAGAGGTACTTTGAAAATGGGGTAATACTATGAAAAGCAATCTCACAACTACTTTTTAAAAATCTTTTTTAAAAAGCTATTTATTTATTTATTTATTTGAGAGAGAGGAAAGGAGAGGGAGAGAAACACATCAATCTTGGTTGTCTCCCATATGCACCCCTACCGGGGATTGAACCCACAACTTGGGTATGTGCCCTGACTAGGAATCAAACCAGTGACCTTTCAGTGCATGGGATGATGCTCAACCAACTGAGCCACACCAGCCTGGCCTCACAACTACTTTTAAGTTTAAGAAAACTAGAATATTTACTTACTAGGCAATAGCTCCTTATCAGCAGTCTCTGTGCAGCTGGGATAAGGGTGAAATAGATGGCCTTTCTCTAATGGATATGGAATCATTCTAAAAGCTGAGGAAAAAACAAAACAAAAACATGTTGGCGTTCAATTCAGACTCATTTTCATCTTAATTACCTATCAAAGCTATTTTTAAGACATTTTACAGATTTTTTCACATAACATTTTCTTTTCTTTTTTAGAGACATATTCTGCTTTTCCTAAATGTGGCACCAATATAAGTACATTAAACATCTGTTCTACCAACAAACCAAATTAATATCACTGAGTTCAATCTGAACAACAAATCCTATGGAAACTCAGACAATCTCACTTAAAAAGGCTGCCTGTGAATGCAGTGAATAGTCAGAGAGATCAGGGTAACATTTGGAAAAGAATACTTACTGCCTTCCCATGTACACTGTAACAGATTAAGAGCACCTTCTATTCGCTTCCAGTGCTGAAGATGAAAGAAAGCATAGGCAACTGCTTCACTATCACCCCGTTTCTGAATGTGTTCTGGAGGTAAAATTAGACTTTTCATCTCTAGTAAGTACTAGAAAAATAACACACACACACGTAGACACACCACAGAAAAAAGAAAAAATTATGTTAAATTCAAACATCCACAAAAATGTAAATTCTAATTTTATAAAGTCAGTTTTACTTAAAAACAATCCATTATTAAGCTAGTTGAAATGACATTAAGGTCCTACTGATAAATGTGTATAAAATGCTTTGTAAGCAAATTCCAATGACATTATTCCTACAGGTAAAAATAAGGTGATAAATGGCTTATATATGACCTTGCTAAATATAAAATGGAAACTTCAAATGAAGAAATATTAACTTCAAGTGAAGAGCAAATATTTACTTTTTTCAAATACTAATTAAGTGTAAAAAATAGAAACTACAGTTTGGGCACAAGACTTTGTGGCAACATTTAATTATTTTTTTCTCATTCTCATTTTACAGGTGAAGGAACTTAATTATGAAGAAGTTCAATTGAATTTATATTCACTGAGAGCAAAGCACTTGCTTGTTAGGGAATAATAAAAAAACACTCTATTTTTTGGAACTTCCTAATGCAATGTGAAAGACAGATTTCTTTTTTTTTTTTTTTTTTTTTTGAAAGACAGATTTCTTAAGTTAATAATTACGACCAGACTGTGCTAAATGTTTTATTAGAGGTATAAACAGTGTTTACAGGAATATGGATAGGAGGTATTAATTTTTAAATTTAGTTTTTATAACTGCTTTATTGAGATATAATTTACATACTTTATAATTCATCCATTTAAAATACACAATTCAATGGCATTTAGAATATTCACAGATATGTGCAACCATCACCTCAAAAGGAAACCCTTGTACTCTTTAGTTACTACCTTCAACTCCACCATTCCCGCTAAGCCCTGAGCAACCATGAATCTCCTTTCTGTCTCTATAGATTGTATAGGCAAATCTATACAAACAAAATCACATAATATATGGTCTTTTGTAACTGGTTTCTTTCACTTAGCAGAATGTTTTCAAGGTGTATACATGTTACAGCGTGTATCAGTCCCTCATTCCTTTTTGTGATTGAATAATATTCCATTGTATGCATATAATATGTTAGTTTATCCATTCATCATTTGATGGAGATTTGGCAGCTTTCACCTTTAGGCTATTTGAATAATACTCCCCAAAACATCCACGTACCAGTTTTTATGTGAGCATCTGTTTTTATCTCTCTTGGGTATACACCTAGGAGTGGAATTGCTGGGTCATATGGTAATTCTAGGTTTAGGAGGTATTGATTCTGCTTAAGGGGCTGAAAATAAACCTCTTGATGGAATTTGGGATTGGAGCTGATAATATATAACGTTGGATGGACTGTGGATGGGCGGATTGGGGGTGGGATGAAGAGAAGAACAGGAGGACATAGTCAAAGTACAGGACCAACTGGAGCAAAGGCACTGAGCCAAGAGAACAAGATGCACTGGAGGGATTAGTGAGTATGCTTGTTAAAGAAGTTAGAGCCTGTGAGTTCTTATTCATAGATGAAACTAAATCCCACCTTAAATTCTTGAAAAAAAAGTTTGCCTTAATATTATAATCCATAACAAAAGCAGTATAATCACAGTTATCACACTAATAAACTTTTTATACTAATTACATGAAGATACAAAATTAATCACTTGTACATAAAGTGGTTATTTATATAAATTGGTCAACTGAAAACAAACTCTTTTAGTTAGCTAAATACTTTCTGCAAACACTTTTCCTACTAAAACAGGTTTGAAATCACCTCTTTAGTTTTAAATAACTTGATACTAAGTTATGTGTATAAGGTCCAAACCACATTAACTTCTGTTATAAAATAAAGAGAAACATGCCAGAGGTGTCTCAAAATATATATTCTCACATTTCAAAATCTAAATTCATCAGACTGTTACACAAACTAATGAGAAAAACAACATAAATTAAATAGTTGAATTTGTGAAACTCACTTTGTAAAAGTGCTACAAGCAGGAAGAATCTTAAAAACAAAAAAGTGCAGTTGTTTCAAAATTTAAGCCTTAAGTTATTAATCAATATATATGTATACATAATATTAATATATCTAAATAATTTTCTTATATTGTGTTTCTTATAATGTGTTTTCCAGCACTTACTGAGCTTAATGCCTATCTTTAATGACTCTTACTCCTATATCTCAATACAGCTGAAACTTTAAAGAAAGAATAATTACTCTTAGTCTTGATGTAGCTGGCCCACTCCTCAAAGTGTAAGAATGCAATTTGCTCATCAATTTACTTTAGCAGATGTCACAAGCTATGAGATTATTTACTAATCCAGTTTGGGGACTTAACATTTCCCATTCAGTTTCTTAAAGGAATGCAGCAGAGGTTGTGTCCTGGTCAAGCAAAGCCCATTTGCTGCCTGGTTGGGTTTTCTCCCCTTAGAGCCCTGTGCCTATATTCAAGAGGGTACTATTCTTCCTAATCCTCTCTAATCCTTGCCCATTTTTTTAAAACACAGTAAAAGATCACTCGCACCAGGCAGCTGTGGGAAAATGGACTAAATAGCTGACCTCTGACATGACTGCTTATGCTCTTTGTAAGTGCACAGGGAGCTTCTTCAGTAGGAAGCAAAGAAAATGCGGCAACCACAGTGACGTCTCCATCATAAAAGAGAGTATCTCATTTTCAGAAGAAAATTGCTTAATACTTAAACCAACTTATTTCTATTAAAATTCTGCCTCATTTTACAGATAGAGACAAAATATACCAAATTATTTTCACTGAGTTTTAGAATCCTGAAGTTTGAAACTAACTGTCTTTATAGCCACTTAGCAAGAAAATACTTTTTGAACAGCAACTATAATGTATATTTTCACTGTTTAATAATCTAAGTGACAATTTGGATAGTAATCAAACACATATGGCATGCTTACTAGAAAATGATACTTCAGGAGTTTATATTTTAAAATCTTTGTCATTAAAAAGTCTTCCTTATGCTATCTTATTTTTTTATTATGATGTCTTGCCTACTACCAAATGTCCTTTCCAATTTGACTTTAAAACAAAGCAAACCTTACTTTTCAGTTTCCAATAAGGCACTAAAATAAAACTTCACCCTCAAAATATAAGGAAAATTTCTGGTTCAAGGAAAATATATTTAAAGAAGGAAATTATAGGATTATGACTTATTTTATCTTCTTCACAAACTGCTACTCAGGAATTTCTGCTAAGGGGGAGACATACAGATGAAAAGAAAAGGTATGATTATGGTACTAAAAGAACAGAGAGGAGAGAGCCATTATCTCTGCTTGGGAAAAATGAGAAAGATGCTTTTATAAAGGAGGCCACAGATATGCAGGGTTTTGAAGAATAAGAAACCTGATGATAGAGAAGAGATGGAGCATATGTACAAAGGTAGGGCGATATGATAAGACATGACCAATCCAGGAAGTAGTGATGCTGGAGATAAGGAACAAGGCAGATGTGGCAAGGAGTAAGGCTGGAGATAGACAATGGGCCCAGACTGTGAAGGGCTTCTGTATGCAATATTTAAGGGATTGGTCCTTATCTTATAGGGGGTGATGGGGAACAAGCAGAGCTCTTTAGCAGAGTAAGATCTGCTGTTTAAGTAGATAACTTTGGCAATAACCAGAGTGGAGAGGGGTTGATGGCAGGGAGACCAGTGAGGAATCTGGTTTTTTTGTTGTTGTTGTTAATCCTCACCCAAGGATATGTTTTCCAATGATTTTTAGAAAGAGTGGAAGGGAGGGAGGAGGAGAGAGAAACATTTTTGCGAGTAGTCAGGGAACAAATCTGCAACCCAGGTTCGTGCTCTTGACTGGGAATCAAACCTGCAACTCTTGGGTGTGCAGGCCAATGCTCTACCATTGAGCAACATTGGCCAGGGTGAAGAATCTAAGAGTCTAAGCAAAAGACGGTAAATAGCCCTGACCAGTTTGGCTCAGTGGATAGAGCGTTGGCCTGCAGACTGAAGGGTCCAGGGTTCGATTCTGATCAAGGGCATGTACCTTGGTTGTGGGCACATCCCCAGTAGGGAGTGTGCAGGAGGCAGCTGATCGATTTTTCTCTCTCATTGATGTTTCTAACTCTCTATCCCTCTCCTTTCCTCTCTGTGAAAAAATCAATAAAATATATTTTTTAAAAAGACAGTAAATATCTATAATAATAAAAGCATAACATGCTAATTAGACTTGCATGAATTTCGTGCATCAGGCCTCTAGTATCTATGTATTTAGAAATGCTTAGAAAATATCTGGCAATAAATAAACCAAACAGAAACTGTGGTTACTTAAGAGAAGTAGAATTGGGAAGGAAAAACAGGAGAAATTTTACTTTACAAACTTTTGATTTTTTTTTGTAAAATGTGCTCATTATTTTATAATAATAATAATAATAATAATAATAATAATTTTTTAAAGAATAGGCAGTGAGGGTGCAAGATGGTGACCATGGGGGTGGAGTAGATGGCTAAATCTAAAAGACATTTCAAAGGTTACAATACAAGTTGGTAATTTGGAAAGGGTAGAAGTAAAGTTTAATGAAGAGAAAAGGATAATGAAGTATTAAATTAGAATATTTAACTAAGAAAGGACAGGTAAGATGAAGAAGAGACAAATTTTTAAAAATTCAGTTGCAGACACATTGAAGTATCTGAAATACCTATTAGATATCCAGTTAAAATTTTTCATAACTAGACAGAAATGCAAGTCTATAGATGGGGAAGCCAGAGTTAAAAGATACAGATTTGGAAATTATCAATAAATAAAATAGAGTTGGGGACATAATCCAAGGGTGGTATCTAGTATGTGCTACAGGACCTTACGTATTACCTCCAAATCACCTTATGGTTATATATGGAATAAATCAGAAACTGCTTGGAACAATTTTAACTAGTATTAAACTACGGACAAGGTAATATACTCAAATAACTACTCATGCCTCTTGCTCTTCACTAAAAATATAAAAAATTAAGGCTACCTTGGAAGCTATAAAAAACACATAACGATGTACGGTCTGATGGTTTCTC